TTGATTTTTTAGTTTAAATTCTTGATAATTAGATTTAATTAATTTATAATTTATTTAGTTATTTGATTTTGATTGTTTGGATAAAACAAAATTATATTAATTTTAGTATTTAGTGAAATTTTAAATTAATTTTTTATAATATCGACACTTTATTTATTAATATATTATTTATTTAATATGTATTATTTATTCAATACGGGTAAAAAAATAAAACAACAACAAACCAGCGCCCATGCTGTGCATGTGGACGTTGCAGCTCCATATAACAAAGCACCGAATTAAGAGAGTGCGAAGAGATAGGGAGATAGATATTCTATTGTTGTTAAAAAGTTAACAGAGGAAATGTAATGATGGATTTCAGGATAGAATCTTACCAAACTGATGATGCATATAAAATTCAAACAACATCAAATGTCGTGTAGAGTGGGCTCGAGATACCATGAAAAAAATTTGCCACTAGACAAATGAAATATCCTTCTACTTAAAACATTTAACTCGGTCAACCAATTCAGCAACCTGAGCATGTTCCCTTTCGCATTGAAATCCCAACAAGCTTTATACCAAAATAGCAAACCATCCCTAACAAGTTTTGAAATTCTTCGCAATGCCTTGAAACTAGAGTCCTTCATTGAAAAAATTTTCTCATTGCTGGCCAAAAGTCACACCCCACTTTGTTGAAAGAATATACGTTACAAGTTGGTTTTGAATCGTGAGCTTTCTGGCTTTATACAAGCATGAGTCTTACTGTCCTTAATCATATAACTAGTTTAAAATGGGGTTCAATCTTGAGTATGAGAGATGAGGCTGATGGAATGGAAAAGTATTCACCTGTTTTACATTTTAAAGTTGGTAAAATTTCTAACTTTAGTAGTAGTATTATTTTATCTGCTGATGTTTTTGAATGTAAACGTAAGTTTAAGACTTTGTTATTTAGTTGCTTAGGCTTATATTCATCGAAAGACACAGTTTCTTTTTTCTGCTTTCCAGCCTAAGATCACGGGAACAAACTCAAAAGTCAAGATCATGCCCGAACAGCCCTGCCAGAAACTTAAAAGGTGGTGGGTGAGTTGATTTAGCTGACCAGATACCGTTTACTTTGTATTGCAATCGTACCGTACGTTAGACTAAATTAGAGCAATTAAGAATTCAGGTTAAGATTGACATTACGATTGAAACCCAACAATGATATCATAATAACTTTGGTGAAGGTTGCAGTGTTATGCTGTTGGGTTCAATCTGCAACCACATTTGAGTCTTGACCAACAATTCTTGAGCTTCTTTATGATTTTGGTGCCTAATGAGATCACAATTTTTTTCCTTGAACTTAAATTTTCAGCCCACGTGCTTGGATTAATTGTTTTGGTTTCTGACATGAACATTTCTCCATAGAAAATTCATGGAAAAACAAGCGTTCACAGGATTTCGATTTAAGGAATGAAAAAAAAAGGGGGCGGACAATGGAAAATGGCAAAGAGAGACTTGTAGCAACAATTGATGATGGTCAAGTTCAAGTTGAAAGAGTAAAATGTGGGATGAAAACCCACCACAATATGACCAAATATCCGCCTTATGTTCAATTGGAAGGAAGCAGACAGAAAACTGAGAAAGCACACGCTGGAAAATGGAAAAGCTGTATGAGACGAAGCACGGCCTTTCCATTCATATTGGCAAGAGAGGGAAAGCTTCCGGTTTTCACAGCTGGGAAGACCAACTAGCTAGCTAGAAGGAGAACAAATTCTACTCGTCTAGGCCTTTCTGAAGGAGACAAAGCAACTAATTCGCGATGAGTGTGGGACAATGGGAACTCCATACAACTTGAGTAAGCTTGAAGAGCTTTTATGGAATATTATGTGCTGGTGAAATTTTATGAGGAAATTCAGATTTAACAGTCAAAGATACGTGGCTTCAAAACTGTATAATAGCATCAAGGGTTTAGTGTATAACAACACCGAATCACCTCGGCAAACTAAATCACAATCTCCGATGTGTATCATAATCAAACAATACATGATGATAAGATTCTGTTTAAGCAGTTAATTCAGTCAATGAAGTCAGCATCTTCAGAATATTGTCACTTGTATATTATAATAATCACAGAAGAACAGGGGCAGAGAGATTGAGACCAAGCATTACTCTTTCAAATTATTAATTCCATAACGATAAAAGTGAAAAACCAAAACCCAAACGATGGCAAAAGTTCTTTAAGTTCATAAAAACTGTAATACTTTTGATCAGTTTTGTTTCTCGCCGAAGTTCATAGCTGAAGCCACTTTGAGAAAAGCAGGCCTCGAAGCAATATCCTCCCACCAAGCCTTAACATGTGGACGGTCATTTATCTGATTTGCCCAAGGAGTTTTCATGAAATAGTAAGTGTAAGAGAGGTGGAACAAATCGGCCAAGCTGTAAAAATCTCCAGCAAGGTACTTGGTGCGGCTCAGCGTATCCTCGTATATATCAAGCACTTTGCCAAGTTTCTCCAAGTTTTCATCAATGATTGCTTGTTCAGGGGATTTGCCCTGGAGAGGTGCCACGAAGAACTGGAAGACAATTGGAGAAATCGCAGGGTGGTATTGCTGGGATTCCACCTCCATCCACACTTTGACCTGTGCACCCTCTTTCACGTTTTGGTACCTAATCAGATCATAGCCACTTTCCTTGAACTTTTCAGCCACATATGCTGAGATTGCTCGAGACTCTGATACATGTATAGACATACCAAAAATGATCAGAAGAAACAGATTTCTTTATACCTTTTCTTTGTTCTTTTTGTAAAGGTTAACGGACACAAAAACATACTACAAAAGGATCCGCGTCAACCTATACCGGTGATCAAGTGTTTTGACATCCTTTTCCCACCTCCTCTACAAAGTAATAGATGTTTCATTTCTTTGATTTTTGGACCAGCTAAATGGTTTGTTTAGCTCCTCCTAAAGTTATATTTAACCAGTTAATAAGCCAAAGATTCCACTATCCTCCAGGTTTAGAGATAATGACCAAGAACAGTGTGGGGTTCACATAAAGCGCTATCAAGGGAACAGATCTAGAGAGACAGCCTACCGAAAAGAGTGAGATCACCGTCTTCTAGCACCGGAATCTGACCGAAGGGCTGCATTACAAAGAGAAGCCATTCTTATTATTTAAAAAAGGAGGGGAAGAAAAGAAAAAGGTAATGCGAGAAGCTAACATAAAGAAGACAGGGTACGGGATTTTACGTTTTTGGCGAGGAATGAAGGCTCCTTGTGCTCACCAGCGAAAAGATTGACAGAGATAAACTCAAAATCTGCTTCCTTCTCATGCAAGCAGGTCAGGACACGCGAAGTGCACGTGGACATGGCAGCTCCATACAACTTGAGAGCCATTTCGATGAGATTTGAGAGTTCAAGTGAGAGAGAAACTGTGAAGAAAACAATAGCAAGAAAGAGTGATAAAAGAAGCCAAGAAACCTGCCGAAAAGTTTGCGAAAGTGAAGGGGAGAGGAACAGTGATTATATAGTAGTCTGCAGTAAATGTGAAAGAGATGACCCAATCTTCCATATTAATCGCCTCGCCCCTTGCCTCAAGATGGCAACTGAACCAGCTTTCCTTTACTTTTCTCCTCTTTTTAAAGAAAATCATAACAAAACACGGAGTAGTTACTAATGCTTTATAATTTCTCGCCGTATAGTCTGAATAATTGTAATCTTTTCTTATTTTTGTAGGGAATAAATACCATATATATTCTATAATCAAAGCATTGATTAGATGAGCAGATTTCTTTAGATTACATAATGGTACAATGATATGTCTATCGAGAAGCATTGCAATTTTTGGAGCACTTTGGGGGACACACTGAGTCACCTCGGGTGTATTAAATTCCAATCTTCAAGATCTTAGTCAAATACGATCATTTAATTAAGATTTGATTGAGACCCTAAGATGATTTGAGAGGTGTTAAAACTTTAACATTGCCATAATTTTAGTCTAAATAGCATACTCAATGATAATTCTCTTTCAGGTAATAATAAAGTAAATCTAATGGTATCAAAGTGAAAAGGTGAAAACAAAGAGGTGATTCTCGAGAGCTCAATGATTTCGAGGGAAAAAGGAATTAAAAGGAAGAATTCATAAAGTGAGGCAACATAGACATAGTAGTAACTCATAATCAACCCAAAAATATAGAATAATGTAAAAAGTATGTATATATTCCAAATGACAATCAGAAAGAATAAAGCCTGCCCATGTTAAAGAATCCAATGGTTTTGTAAGATTAATTGGCAAACCTCTCACATGATCACAAAGTTGGCTCGGGCCTGGGTGAGCCAAATTTTGATTAGAAAACTAATTTAGCTAATGACACAATCACGTACGATCTGGTCAAACCACAGTTTTCAGTGCTTTGAATGCAAAAATAATATAAGCGGTCCAATGACATAGAATTCTGGGTAAATTATTGTTTGGACATTTTAAACGAGGAGAATCAACCGCTCTTAATTGAGACTGCTATAGTCAAACAAGTCGAAGCCTCGTCCATACCCACCAATGATTTTGCTTTAGCTAAGTTCTGTTTGGATTCACAGGTAATCCAACCACTGGACCATAACATTAAAATAAAAAGGGGTTCTGAGAGTGATACAAGTATAATTTAAGATTTAAACATTCACATAATTAGAGTTTTACATTATATATTTCTAATTAAACAATTAAATATTTTGAAACTAACAGAACCCTTTATCAATTCGACTAGAAAGCATTCCCATAAAGAATTTTATTTTTACTACGAGGAGATATATTTTTAATCGAAGAACAGTATTGAAAGTTTCTTTAAAAACTTCAGCAATTATGCTTCAATGGAATTAAAATTTGAAACTATTCAATAACTTGCGACAGTTAGCAAGACGTATTGAGGATTTCAGCATTGTAATGCCGCCTCTGGTCTAAACAAACGGGAATTAAAATATGAACAGGTGAATTTTTTTTTTTTTTTTTGGGGGGGGGGGGGGGGGGGGGAATAAGCAGTTACAAACTTTACAAATCTATACTTATATTATTTACAAATTACAACATACATTAGGTGAATCATGGTAAAAAAAAAAAGGAGGGTAAAAAAGGAGGTAGAAGCTTAGAAGATACAATATATGGCCGAATAAATAGAAAATATAAATAAATAACTCTTCAGAAAGCTGCTCTGGCTTCAGAAGTTGTAATATTCCAGCTGAGTCATTTCCCACCATTCACTGGGTCAAATTGGCATCGGTAAGCTGCATTCATAATCAATTGCACTTTTTCAAAGAACTGATCCCATCAAGTTTCTCCCTCAAAAAAAAACAAAAACAAAAGGAAAAGTAGATGCTAACAAGACAAAATAAAAAAGAAAAAGAATCAAGTAAGCTCATGTAAGTGTAGAAGTCAGAAAAGAAGGGGGGCAGGGGGGGGGTGTGATGGAACCCAGCAAGAGGAATCACCGTTATGACCTAGTCGCTGCAAGACAGTTTCCTAAGAATACACTCAAGCAACTCTCACAATTAATGCTTTGACAACGGAAAACTCTAGAAAAGTGGGTGGATCAACAACCCGACGTCAAGGTTGCTGAGTAATTAACCAAGCATGCTGCAAAAGCTTTCAAAGTCACAAAATACCTCCAAAGTCCCCCTAGATGTTAGTTGGTTGATTTACCAGTATATTAAATTCAAATTAATCAAACAACAGATAAGTTTTAAACTGATGGATGGTTGTTCCAGCCAAATTTTGGTATCCCCATCAGTATTTGCTTTCGTTTACCTTCCGTCAATGCCAAGAATCACCACTGTATCCTTTTGGTGACCAAAAGCAACGATGTACTGAGAACCTTCAACCAGGCGGAACTGAGCCACTGACCATTCTGAGCTGAAGTACTTGGGTAACACTCCTGCAAGCAGAAAGATAGTTAATATGATTACCATAGTTGACTCCCCAAAATTTAAAAGAAAAAAAAATCTCAAATGCCTACTTTCTAATAGATATTAGACATGATCTTGTTAGTTCTCACATTCTATTCAAGTGTTAGTTTCTCTGGTGGCTGAAGTACATGGATAACTGTCCAATTAGCAGAAAGCCAGTTTAGATGCTCATCATAATCACTCACAAATTTTGAAGATATTGTCTCAAATGCCAAATTTCTAGTAGCTATATTAGACACAAACTTGTTACATACTATTAGAATGCAAATTCCCCACTGGATCATCATTCATCATCCAACTAAAAGTTGTATTTTGTTTCTCATGCCATAGGTGACAAGATACTCAAGAGATCAGAAAAAGGAAGAGGTAAATGGCAATCACCATGGATCTTCTTGTTCCCTAAGAGATTCTATTTTGTTGCACAAAATGTAATATTCCGTCATTAGAGAGTCTGAAACATTAGCATCACTAATGCTAGGAAAAGATATGAAATATAGTATCAGATCAACTTTCATAGTGATCCAGTGACTGAAGACAACATTGCATTGTTCAAATCAACAACAGAAAAATCAGCATGCTAAAAAGGCATTTTACCTCTGATAAAAGAAAGAGAGGAATGGGGTGATGTAACAGGGTCTGATACACTTTGTGACCTGTCAGAGCCTGGAGATGCAGCATTAATCTTAAGGCTGAAAACATGGACGGTGCCCTTGTCACTTGAAACTGCTAACCACTGGGCGTTTGAAGAGAAGGCCAAACTATAAATTTCAGCTCTATCTGCACCCCTCCTTACCTACATTTATTGAACAAGAAAACTTTCAGAAAGTCGGAAAATTTTGTGGAATCTCCATTAGTGAGATATAATTATTTATAGTTTTCAATGCTCCACACCCCCTCAAGAAAAGGGTGGACATCTTCCATCCACTGCATATAGAAAATGCAAAAGAACAAAGCCAAACAGTCATAACACGTCAGATGATAAAGGAAATATAGTAAATACAGAAAACATGGAAAGACCATAATGGTGAAAAAGGTTACAATCCACATTCATTTTACATGAATACCTTCGTTTTGCTCCCAATTTGTCACATATTTAAGCAAATCGAAGGAATATATTATTAGCCTTCTCAAAGCTAACAAAGTCACAAAGGAAATAGAATTGTTCGGCATTATAGGACAAACATTCCAATGAAATTTCTTGCAAGTTTTGTGTCTTTATACTAATTTGACTAAAAAGAAAAAAAAAACTTCAAAACAATTCCAAAATTACTATCGGTGCTAGGGGTTTCCACTTAAGGCATCGAAATTACACTCAATTTACCTAATTCAATTAAGCAATGAACAAAAAGGAAATAACGAAATAGCGGATATTAGTATTAAATGACATACCTCTTGCAGCAAGGTACCGTCAACCGTATTAAAAATGCGAACCAGCGTCCCTTTAGTGCTCGCAGTAGCGAGCAACTGCCCATCCTGCGTAAGTGCAAAGCACGCAATTCTCGAATCATGAGCCATAATAAACTTAGTCCTCTTCGAGGCGTAATGCTCCACCCTAACCTGGCCCTTTTGCAGTCCAGGACAAACCAAAACCAAGGACCCGGCCCCCTGGGATACCGCGCAAAGTCCCTTCGGATTCGCGATGGTCTCAATCTGGTGCAGCACTTTCAAATCCGCAAAATTGTATACGAATATTTTCTGTTCCAAAACGACAACGATTCGGTCTCTCCGAAGCCGAACCGATCTTACTTCGGAACGAAAAGAAAGCTCGCCGATGCATCGGCTCTGGTGGTCGTCCCAGATCATAACCTTCTTAGGCGGGTATTGCGGGCTGGGTCCACCGCCAACGAGTGCCAAAATATTGCACCGAAAAAGCATCTCGACAACGCCGATGCCGCCGCCGCCGCCACGATCGAAATCTCGGCGAAAGATCTCGCGGAAAGGATCGCAATTATAGATCCGGAAGCCCTGGTCGATGCCTGCGGCAAAGCAGCCGTGGTCCTGGTTAAAGGAGAGGTGGAGGAGAGAAGGCTGCGGCGCGGCTGGAGAAATCGCCTCGGGTGGAGTCGAAAGTGGGGTGTGAAAATTAGGATTAGAGTTGGGAGTGGGAGTCGGGTTCGGGTCCCCATCAGGAGAAGCGTGATGCTGCACCTGAGGGAGAGACTCCTGGTTGGTTTGATCAGTTGAGGAAAGAAAATTAGGGTTAGGGTTAGCGCTGGGATAAGCTGAGAGGGTGGCCATGGAGGGATCTAGAAGGAATTCGGAAGTGTTCGAGGGGCCGCAAAAGGTTAAAACCATCAAGAAAAGAGGAAGCGGAGGGTGAGAAGAAATGAGATTTAACTGTTTCCCAAAAGAGCAAATTACGATGTGTCCTGTTGGGGAAGGGAGGAAGGAAGCTATGATCGTTTGTGGAAACACAATAAGTAGACAATAGTTGTGTTGGAGTGGATCAATTCGTTAATTGGAGGACACGTACCGACAAGAGCGGTAGAGAGTTTTGCCTCGACCCGACGCCAACTGCCTTCAACAGTGAGGCCGAAACTGCGGTCTCCGTGGCTTTTGGGATGGGCTTTAGCTTATACACTTCTAAAACGAAGCCCAAAAACCTCCTATTCAAGTTTACCTCTAATTAGGATTTCTTTTTTTTCATAAGAATAAATCTTTATTGCCTCATCAATCTAGGAAAAGAAACTCCAATTACATCATTAAATAATAAACTTTTATCCTTCTATGCGATAGTGGGATAGGCTATGAAATTTTCAATAATAGAGAAGCTTTTATTGATCAAACAATTTACTATTATATTTCTTTTTCAAAACACAAAATGAATCTAAACCTCTTAATATTTTTCAATCCAATTTCGAATGAATTAAATCAAGCATGAATTTGCGCATGGATGAACAGTTTTGTGAGGAGAGTGCTTGGAAAAGAAGTTTGCTATCAATCTGAAGTCGATCTTTTGAAAACAAAGCTCCCATGCATATGTATACTCCTTAGAGTTTGGCTTTGTAAGTTGAACATTATTACTGTTGATAAGCACCATCAGAGTTTAATGCAACCCAGCCAAAAGAAGGAGCTTCCAAACCAGCTAAGATTTCTTCTTGGGATTATGTTGGACCTCCCTCATTCACAATGCTTACTGCCTCACTGGTTTGCAATGCCAAAGCCATTCTATATATAATTGCCATTTTCCCATCAATAGGGAAATCTACATTTTCAAAAGTGAAAATATTTCTCTATTTCTATGAAAACCAACAAGTAATCCCAAAAAGATATTTCATCTAATGTCGGTACCAATCACATCAATTTTCCCCAAATTAGGCAAAAACCACGGTTAAAAAATCAGCCATTTTGTTGAACAACATACTAATTAGGTATTTGAAATAGCTATTTCAAATATTTAAATACCTAATCTCAACAAAATCCACAGCCATTTAAATTCCTCGCGACTTCGACAAGAGAGTGGTCTCCTACCCATGTCTCCATCCAAGATCAAGTTATGAGTGCATTCCCTATTCTCTATCAAATATTTTTTTTTAAATGTCTCGAATAATTTACAAATGGATGTCCAAAAAGAAGAAGAGCCTCTACTTTGTAGTTTATTAGGGCATGCAAACCTCACAAAATAGGATTTCTGAATTTGAAATTGGAAATTCAACTTGGATAGGTCTGCCTATGACTATAAACTAATAGTAATTATTAATTAATATAAAGTTTATAAATCAAATACTTATTTATATTATTAGTATTTGTTGTCATTACATCAAAGGTGAATTTTTTATTTATTCTTATTTAATGATTATATATAATTTAAATATTTTCAAAATCTAAATTTGAAGTATAAATATATAATTAAAATTTTGTAAAATTAATTTATAAATTATTCAATTATTATTAGAATTAATTAAAATACTTTTTTAATAAATTCATTTAATACAAATAGAATTATTATTTACAAATTGAATAAATCTTATTAATATTTATAATAAAAAGATATTTTTAATGATACTTATTGGATGCAATTAGAATTTTTATTTAAGAATTGAAGAGATTTAATTAATATTTATAATAAAAATATTTAATATGATAATTTAGAAATACAACAAGTAAATATATATATCTCTTCATCGTTAAGAATTTTTACCAAGATTCCTGCTTTTTATATATATGCATAAATATAAATAGATACTTATAGATTATAAATAAGTTAGGTATCATTTATCAAAAAATAAAAAATTATACTAGTTTTAGATCTGACTAAAAACAGGATAAGATAAACAATATAAAAAATTCAAACATTTATTATTTGTTACATTCCTACCAAAATTCTATATCGTGGGGGAGTTTTTTTTTTCCTTGTTAGTGTAAAATCCATTTATTAATTTTTTTCACATAATATTTTCAATTAACACTATGTGCATTTTATTTCTAATTGGTATTATATGGAAAATTTTTGTTCCTACAAAGAGTTAGACTGTTAATTTATGTAATGAAATTATAAAAATATCTTTCAAGGTAAACAAAAAAGTTAACTTCGAATTGAGAGCTTTTGATATTTTTATTGGGTGAAATTAATGACATAAGCTTAAGTGGGAATATAAATTATTCACAATATGTTAATTATGAAAAAATATTTATATAGTTCTAATTGAGAGAAAAAAAAAACATAATGGTATCATGTGAAAAAGGTTAAATGATGAGAGCAGTGAAATTATTATTTTTTTAATTTATATAAAAATATTTAACTCTAGAAAATTAATCCACCTAAAATTTCTAAGATTCTTTTATTTAAAAAACTAGTATATGCACTAATAAATGCAGCATTAAATATACAACAAGTTAGGCTATCAGGTATAAACGGTGTCTATTTTATGATGATTACCGTCATAAATGAAGAAGTTGCAAGCAGGACTCGTGGCAAATGGCACATGGCTGGACACTCAAATGCCGGCCCAGCGGGGTAATTAACTGTGTGAAAAAGGGTCGAAATGGAAGCAGGAGATAACACTTGCAATAAATGATAAATGAAGAGACTCAGTACAAAACCAAAGCCGCATATTCGCTCATTAAATCGGCATTCTGACAGAAAGACTTTATTCCTAAGTAAACAGCGGGGCCAATGTAAAATACTCTCCAGTGGACAACTCACCGCTGTCCGTCTGTCACCACCCTACCAGCAGAGAGGTCCAGACAGAGCAGGTGGGGGTTGAGGTGGCAAACGGATGAATGCTGATACTTGAAAGACAGAGATATAAAGACGTTGGAAGCTGGTATTCACCATTTGTGTATAATTGTGACATTACATTGTATGATCTTATCCTTTTTTAATCATTAAATTTGTAGGATTTCAATTTTTATGAATTGCCTCAAATCAATCAGGCAAATAATAATAGGACTAACTTCCCCGGCGTTCCATTTCAGCTGAAGTATTACTTTGGACATAACTGAATGTTCAGTTGACTTTGGAGCTCCCCGACCATTTGTTCCACGTAACCTATTTATGGATAAGACTTAGTTAGGTTAGGGAGCTCACTTCCAGTCGAAGGAAATGCAGATTGAGAGGAAAAAAAGATGCTTTGGTGTTCTCTTACCTCTATATTAGGCAGCCCATTTTTCATCTTAACTCAAGTGGTCATATAGTAACTAGCAATTGTCGGTTCCATTTTGCATTAAGAACGAGAGAGTCAATGTTCATTAGGACATAGATGGTGTCCCTCAAGATCTTCACTTAGTTATCTATAAGACACTTAAAACGATTATATAATCAACTATTTAGACACATCAGACATGTGATGCAGTTGACAATAAATTTGCAAGTTTAGTGATTAGTCGTCCGTTGATTTGATTGTTCAAGTCAAGCCGCTTGCAGCTTGCATGCTAAAATGATAAATTTCTGTTTTGAACCCAAAAACGATTTGCATAGTTTGTCAAAACTAATGGACAAGTTATAATTCCTCCTTCAACATTCAGCTTAGCGGTCAAAAGGAAATTACAATGCCAGTTCGACAAGTTTGGCACACGTTAGGTTATCTATCTTGGCTCCTTTGGCTAGCAGCAAAAGAATAAAGATTCATCCACTCTTTTCTTAGATCAATCTTTCCAGCACCTTGATTACGACACTTTGTTGCTCAATTTAAATGCAACATCACTTTAGCAAACAAACCAAATTACAGCAGTCGCAGTCAGTCAAACAGGTCGGCAGAGAATTTGAAGTGCACTTGAAAGCCCAACAGTAAGGAAAATAAAACAAGAAAGAAAGAAAGAGTTTATATGTAATCAGCAGCATTCGCATATGGGTCACAATCAGCGGCTGCATCAGCCACCATATCTCCTAGCAAAATCCCGCCAAGCAATCCTCCCACCAATGCTGCAGCTCTCAACGCTAATCCATCACCACTCTCATTCTTTCTCTCGGGCTGAACAACCGGCGGGTATCCATATCCTGGCCCCACCGGCGGATACCCTGCCGGTTGCGGAGGATATGATCCTGCAGGCCCCATAGGAGGATACCCGGCAGGTGGTGCTGACGCTGGCTTGTATCCTTCCTGAACCGGCTGTTGAAACCCTACAGGCGGATAACCGACTGGTAGGTAAGCTGGCACAGCTGCATTATGTGGCTGAGGGTACGGTGGATAATTCACTGCTGTTCCATCCACAGGATATGCAGTGACTGCGCTTGGGGTTTTCTCCCCAAACCTGAATGTCAATGTAGAAATGATCGCTAGAAATGGTTTGCCGCAAGGTTTCTTAACAGGGTACGTAACGTACTCAGTAGAGTTGCTGTTACCGGCATTGTCAAGGAGTTCCCTGACCGAAACTTGGGCTTCACCAATCTCTTTGTCACCACGAAAGGTGGGGCAACATATGAGCTTGAAGGTGATGACCAGAGAATTTGTTTGAGCGAGGGTTTCGTTAATGGTGAACTGCATGGGATGGTTCCACTTGGGGCTGGTGCCGCCGTCCTTGTGCAATGGTGTTTTCTGCTCAGTGCTGGGGTCTCCTGAAATTTTGACGACCACATACACGTCCATTTTGGAGAGGTGCTTCACCTTTTTGAGGCCTTTTTGCAGAGTTTATGGTTATTTCCAATGGTCTCATTCGCTCCATTTCCCCTTCCAAAATTATCTGGTAGAATTAATCGTTTTGGGGCCATTTGGGAATTGAGAAAGGGGGAGATTGAGACAGTGGAGATCGGGGAATGTCAATGTAGGCGATGATGAAGCCAGTAGATTTTATAGAAGGTATGGAGATTGACTTTGAAGATGAAGAGAAACTTCGTTTTCTGATCATGGCTTGATAGAGGAAATCCCGGTGGAAGTTGTTATCCCAATAAAAGTCAACGTCTGAATAAGTCAGACAGCTTCGAGAGTCCAGGCCATGAGCATTGCTCCAGAAGCAACAAAGAGGGAAACCAGTAGCTAGCGTTTGAAAAAAAGCACATAACATATTATCAGCTTGCAATGACAAAATTGACCATAAACAAAGCTGGTTGCTAATTATAATTGGCACTGCTTTAAAGATTTAATGTACTACATGTCAAACAAAAGATTTTTATTGCTTGAGCTATACATGGACTCGTAATATGGGATACTAAACCCTGTAAAACGCACACACACACGTCCTACTATACTGTCTAATCTAAAAGGAGTCAAAAGGTACACGATGCCAGAAAGAAAAATGTAGGGAAAATGAGAATTTGATTTTAGGAACTAAAATTAGTTAACAAGAAACTTCCGTTTAGCACTATGATTTCTATAATGTCCTACCAGAACTTCCTGGTGCATGTTACAAAAAGAAGAAAGTTACAAGTTACAACCTAATGAAATTAACAAATCAATATTCAGATGAAACAGGACTTTTTACATGGCTCTTTGATCATTTCTAGCGATCATGTGGCCTTGTCCAAGACGCCAAAGAATGAAGTCAACATTCATTTCCCCCCGGACAAGCCCAAACTAGCTATTTCGGAGAAATATGTAGATAAAATAATGTTCTCACCTTGACCCATGATATCAACTTCCTTCCTGTCATAAAATAAATAATTTTTCTCAGGTCTTTACAATTATTTATTGCTTATATTGATTAAGGCAATTAAAAAGTGGCACAGATCTGCTGGGATCAGATTTATGGAAAAAAATAAAGCCAAGGCATGCATATCTTTAATATTAATTATACAAAACACCAATTTCATCTGAGAATTAACCTTGTCATAAGGTTTAAAGTTCAGTCTGCATACCATGGGGGGTGAATGCAAATCAAATTTCCAATTTCAAGGTCAACATTGCTGCATATTCGTTGATTGAAAATAACAGTTCCTTTTAGTCCTTCATTTTCCAATATTTTGGGGCTCTCTGGCTGCCAAAAACCCTGCAGAAACAGACATATAACTTCAGTTTCAATTTTGGTTCTGATAGTGGGAAGTCGAGCAACTTAAACTTCTTTCAGATTTCAAAACCTCTATGATCTTGACAAAAGAGCAATGACAGATCGTCAGCTTTGCATCCAAATATCTTGACACAATTTTCACAGTGATGCAGCTTGGTTCATCTGAGGAAAAATAGAACAAAGACAGGGACGGTAAGTGTAAAACAAATACACAACCTATTTTTGGATAGTTGCTAATCTGAAAGTCTTTGTGAATCAAATTTGCTTCAAATGTGCTAAAGGGGAAAGGTGAACAATTACACGGCTTTACTTTTTAGGCTAGCTCCATCCTGCAATTTCTTCAGAAAAAGTGTATCTGTCTCCTTTTCACTCTGCATGACCTGCTGCAACTTCCCAAATAGTCCAGTGCTGCAAATTTTGGGAGGATCAAAAACTCACATATAATTCACTTTTCCAACATCTACAATGCACATAATAGGATAGTTCTAGCCAGATTATTTACCTGAACGCTCTGGGTCTAGCAAAAAAGGCCCCTTCATCACTCAAGGAGGTGGCACCTAAGGCTTCCTGAAACTTATCTGAAATAGTTGGCTTCTTCATCTCAGGAATAGCAAGTTCTAGATTTTGGTAATCATCCTGCTTAAGCATGTCAACGCAAGAAACTTCCCTTCATAATTTCAAGAAAAAGCTATGAACAAGCTTCCATAGGCATGTAAATACCTGGTCATTGCTTGATGATCCACCACTGAACGGCTCATGGAGGTCTTCACTTTCTATGCTTCTATCACCCAGTGAACATATACTTCTTTTGAGAGCAGCTTGTATCTTTTTTCCTCTAGCTCTGCAACGCTGCGAAATACATGATTAAGAACAAGCAGCAACAGCAGAAAGACAAAAGCTTATGGCTCAAAAACAATGAGAACAAAAAAGGAATACCATTTTAGAATTCCCTCTTAGCAGACCGGTATCATCCTGAAGCTCATCTAAAAGCTCAGCCATTGAATGCTCAATAAATCCATAACCGGAAACTTCTACATCAGGAGGAATAATCTCTAACTGCTTTTCCTCTTTTCCATGGATATCTTCAACAAGCTCAGGTGTTGAATGATCTACAGATCCATGATCACTGGCCTTCAATTTTCCAGGCACTTCATCAGCCTTAGTTGACACATCATTATCATTACCTGAAAGAGCAGGGAATGAAATTCCTTTATGTGGTTGGGAGCCGAAAGAAAATCTAGGCCTCATTTTGCTTTTGGCACCTGCAAAGCACAAAACCAGGTTGCCATATTAGACTGAAAAAAGGAACATTTCTCAAAGGCCAGATATAGCCCCATAACAACTTGGTTATGTGAAAGAGTTTAGAAATTGCACTCGTGGCACAATTAGCTCCCTCAATGATATTCAGTTAGCGACAGGTCTAGCTATTACCATGCACTTTTTGGTGTAAAAGCATATCTATATGTAAATCAACCTATGTTACTACTTGGATATAACTGAATATTCCTAATTAAAATAGTCATAGAAATATCATAAGGCCTAAGATATCTCAACATATTCTCTTTCTTCTTTCATTCCTTGTCCTTTTCCCCTTTAAATGGAAACATGAGCTGACTGAAGGACAATGCAAATGGCAAAATTATGTTGGAAGGCACACGAGTCTGGTAACATAATGCACTAGCAGAAAGTAACCCTTGGAGCAAGAAAGAAGGCCTTTACAAGATTTATCTGCTTTGGAGCAAATAGCAGGAGACAAAAAACCTGAAACATTTTTGTCCCAATGGATCAGTGACTCAGCTTCTTTAGTTACAATAGACCACACATTTCCCCCATCTTGGCCCCCAATTCCATAGCTATTATCAGATCTTTTAGCACCAGAAGCAGTGGAAAATTTTGAGCGCATAACCTTCTCCTGTCCAAAACAAACCTAAACTATAATAACTTGCAACAAGTACAAGAAAAGAAGCGTAATGCCTACCTTCAATGGTTATGAGGTAAAGCAAGCAAATAACATCGTTAGAAAGCTAGTTAATCCACAAGAAAAAGTTAATTATGTAAAACTTTACTGATTACCTCGCCATCAGAGATAAGTTCCTCATTGGAAACGCGTGTAACTCTCTTCCTTGAGAAGAAGCAGTCACCCTCATCGGGGGAGTCAGGCACTTCAACATCCTCTTCAAGATAACAGCTCGAAAGTTCCTGATTATACGACCGGTTGTTATCACATTTTTCTAATACAGAATTTAAAAAAAAAATGTAATTAATACACCAAACTGTTCAACAAAAAGAATTACTACAACTCAAATTTAAAATAGACCACAAAGAAGAACGAAATTAGCAGGAAAGTAGATACCTTTAAGTGTTTCCAGTCTTGATTGAAGCTGTAATCCTTCCTGTTGATGCACAAAAATAGAATCAAAATCAAAAAATAAAAAATTCAACACTTACATAAAGTAGTAAGTAGAGCAATGACCTCTTTCTCTTTCTCTTTTCCTAAGGAAACACAATTTTCTCGAAAATCATCGATGAAATCCTCCTCGTCTGCCGAATAATGGATCACAAACCAATCTATTGATCCTCAATATATAGAGAAAAAAAATATTGATAACAATTACCGGAAATGCTCTGATCAGAATCCGAATTTTCCTAAAAGCAAACCAGTAGTGAACAACCGTTGACAGGAAAAGAATTAAAAACCATAAAAAAAAAAGACGAGGCAGTTTTTCAGGTTTACCTGAAATCTGTTTCGCCGCCACATTTGTGGGACCGGAGCTCCGTCCAGTGCAGTTTAGAAACTTTTTTTGGATAAAGGTGCTGTGTTTTTTCTCCCTGAAATAAGGGTTTTGGGTTAGAGGCCCAAAGTTAACAGTAAAATTACTTTGATGGCCTTAGTGCTGGATTTCCCACCAAAAGGAGGAAAGCTTACGTAGTGCGCAACGCAACCGCCCCTTATAGTACTATTCCCTTGAAGGAAATCCATTGATGTCAAAATTTCTAATAAATGAATCCAATCAGTCAGATCTCTTATGTACGGTTCAGATTCAAAGATTTGATGATCTTACAATAGTCCCCATTACTCTCGATTCCGCCAACCAATAATGCAATTGCCCGCGCAATTTGAAATCTTTTTCTCCATCTTTTCTCCCCGACCAAAAGGTAATGGGAAAAAAAATAGAAAAAATGATACGGAAATCCATTTTATATACCTACACGAGCGCAGAGTATAGAGAGAGAAATTGAGGCGTGTTTGGGTTGGTTGATGAAGAGGAAAGTGGTGAAGCGGGGAAGTAATAGGAGCAGAGAGAGTGGAAAAATGAAAGGGACATTAGGGAGGCTCTTGCAGGTTCAGCTCCACCAGCACCAACCATCTGCCGCCAACTCATCCTCTCTCTTCGCCAGGAACCTTCTAGATTCAGAACCCGATGACCCTTCCACTTCCGCTTCGGCTCTCGACCTCGACGCCGCCGACGACAAAGATTTCATTCTCAGTCAAGACTTCTTCTGGTCAATCTCCTCTCCTCTCTCTCTCTCTCTCTCTCTCTCTTTGCGTGCGCGTTTATATGTTTGTATATTTATTTATTTGATTTTTTGTTTCTTCACATTTTGGATGATGGATGCAGCACTCCTGATTATATCACCCCTGATAATCAGAACTTGATGAACGGCTTTGATTGCAACAATGTAATTGTTAATAGTTTGTCAATGATGTAGAATCTGGTAATTTTTTCTACTTTGGCTTTTGAAATAGCATTTTTTTTCTAATTGCCTCTTTAATTAATCAATTCCACAGGACAATATTCCTTGCCCTAAGTCGCCGGAGAAGCTGCATACTGTCAAAAGCAAGAGACCGAGACAAGGTAAGACACAAGTAATTGGTGAGACCTAGAGTATTAGACGGATTCTGTTTGTTGAAAAGTTATGATCTTAATATTTATGCTTTACCTTTGTGTTTCTAGTTTACTTTCAAAAAGTAGTAGCATGGAGCTGCATTCCAAAGAGATGTTTAATTTAGATTTTCATTAGTTAAAAGTGATTAGTACAAATAAACTGTGATGTCCAAGGTTGTTAGGATTTAGGACAATTAATTCATGTAAAGTTGGGGGTAAATTGTCAATGGTGAGGGATTCTGTACTTGTATTAGGAAGCTAATTAGTTCTAATTTCTCTCATGATACAAATTTTGCACATTCGTTGTGGAAATTAAAACCTGGACAAAGAGCATCTGCTTTAAATTGGATCCATCCTGGATTAAGGACACTGGACATGTTTAATGACCCAAACTACAATCTTCTGTATGAAGATATAGCTTGGTGAAAATTAGAAATGTTGTCTTATTTCTGGCCTGAAGTTCAATGGAGATGGGAAACTTTGTTGCTAGTCCAAACATGATTCAGGATATTGCTAATAGAAATTACTCATTTTTTTTGTGTGGAATTCATTATGAAGGGAACATTTGGGATAATTATTTTAGTGTCCCCTCCTTTTTCTAAACATTTTGCAGTTCTTGAAAGTTCTACTGTTTATCATTGCTCATTGATCTCTTAGCACATAGTATTAAGTTCATGTCACAAATTTTAGACATAAACATTTCCTCTTTATATGTTTATACATACATGCATACATATATGCATATATATTTATATATATATTTATATATGTGTATGTATATATATGTATATATGTGTATATATATTTATATGTGTGTGTATATGTATGTATATGTATATATGTAAGTGTGTGTGTGTGTAAAATGTAAGTGCACGAGTGTTTTTTGTCAATCCTTTTGCCATTGAATGTCCATGGTTTTCTCAGATGGTATCCAGGTAAATCCCCTCAGTCCTACGTTTTCTGGCTCTCAACAAATAGTGGAACTTGCCAAAGACAACTTTGATGTGGATGAAGTCAACCTAGAGAAAACAGTCATTCCTGGAGTACAGAAGACTAAAAATTATGTTTCCCAATCTGCCGTTGCTCTAAGGTGTCGGGTTATGCCACCTCCCTGCATTAAAAACCCATATCTAAAGGATGCTTCAGAAATGGACATGGATCCTTTGGGAAATCAAAGATCAAAGTGTGCAGGTACTAGTTTTCAAAGAAACATTACATTTATGATATTGTTAAAACTTCCATTTCCATTTTCCCTACCCATTTGGAGAAAGGTTAGTACTCTTCGCATTCTAAATTTCTTTACCTAAACGGACTAAATAACATATCCTTGCAGGTTTTTTCCCTGCAATTATTGGTGGAGATGGTCTTTCACGCTATCACACAGATTTTCATGAGATTGAGGTGTCTATCTATATTCATTGGGTATCCAAACTTAGTTTGAATCATCAGTTCCAATTCAATATTAAAAATCTAACCTTCTGGTTCTTGTATAATCTCTTTCTTTTTGCCTTGCTTTGCAGCAAATAGGTACTGGGAACTTCAGTCGTGTTTTCAAAGTTTTAAAGAGAATTGATGGTTGCTTGTATGCTGTCAAACATACTACACGGCCGTTGCACCAAGATACTGAGAGGTAGTTTTCAATATATATATATATATATATATATATTCATTCTTTTGCTAATTGTTAAGAAAATGTAGCTATAAAATAATGTTATCATTTTGCAGGAGGAAAGCCTTAATGGAAGTTCAAGCTTTGGGAGCATTAGGTATACATTTGTGTTTACTTTCTTTTTCTTTTTGTTTTTCTTTTTTGTAATTTAGGAGAAAATTTATTTGTAACTTTATTTCAATCTTTGACACTAAAGCAATCTTTCTAATGGTTCTACGTTGCTGCCTTTGCAGGGTCTCATGAAAACATTGTTGGATATTACTCTTCTTGGTTTGAAAATGAGCAACTCTACATTCAAATGGAGCTTTGTGATTGCAGCTTGTCCAGAAATACATCTTCCCAGTTGTTCACAGAAGGAGAAGTACTGAGAGCCTTGCTTCAGGTTAGCATTGACCGGGGTGGGGGGTGGGGGGGAGGGGGCGGAGGATAATGTTTTGTAAAATGAAACACTGTCATTCCACTTTATTAGCTTGTTTGGTTTGGATTACCCGTTTATGAAGTAACATCACATAAGTATCAGTGAAAATGATGAGAATTTTATAGTGTTGTTTCTCATACTTCTTGGTTGTTAAGAGAATAAATCTAATCTTCAGTTTCTACAAGGACCAGCACCTCTAAACCTTTGTAACTGGTGCTAATACTTGGACCAAACAATAGTTTCCACTTACCCTCTTTCGTTATTTCCCCTTATACTTAGCAATTTGTGATTTTGAATGCATGTGCATCTAGGACCTTCAAAGTTAGTAAGTTTTTTGTTCCTCTCATTATATTCCATCTCTGATGTCAAAAATTGTGCAGATTGCAAAGGCTTTGGAGTGTATGCATGAAAGAGGAATAGCTCATTTGGATGTAAAACCTGAGAACATATATGTCAAGAATGGTGTTTATAAACTTGGTGATTTTGGATGTGCAACTCTCCTAAATAAGAGCTTGCCAATTGAAGAGGGTGATGCACGTTACATGTCTCAAGAAATCCTAAATGAGAACTATGATCACCTTGACAAGGTTGATATCTTCTCTTTGGGAGTTACTATTTATGAGCTCATCAGGGGTTCACCTTTGCCAGAATCAGGACATCAGTTTCTTAGGGAAGGAAAGCTGCCACTGCTTCCTGGGCATTCCTTACAATTTCAAAATTTACTCAAGGTATGATACATTCTGTTCTTTCTAAATTGTGCTCAAACCTTTCTTTAAATGTAAGTAGATATTTCTGCTTTTTCTGGATGCATTTAAAGCATCTGTGAGGATCTTTTGCCCTCATTTTCCTTCTGATATGCCAGTGGTCATAAATTTAAAAAATGCAAGGCAAAAATGCTTTCTGATGAAGATGTTCTGTTTAAATTCTTCCGTTTCTAGTTTTTAACTTTGCACTAAAACTAACTTTTGTTTTGATTCAAACTGAAACATAATGCTGCAAATTTTTGAGTAAATCTTTGAAAACAATTCATGTGGAGCATGGCCTACGGCTGGCATTCAGTATTAGGCCATTCTTTTGATTGGTTTTCAATAATGAGGAAGAGCATGTTGGAAAAAAATGCTCTGATTTTCTGATAGTATAATAAAGTTAATGGAGGGAAGTATATCTAGTTTATTCATCAGATTAGAATGTATGTAAGGATATAGGATTTAAGATTAGCTTTACAATTGTAATCCGATCACATATGTTACATACACATTTGAAACCATATACAGGATAAACTAAATTGCTGAAACAACAGTTTATCTCTTTTGATTCATCCTTAGCTGGACCATGTTGACTAGATTGATTATAGTCTCTCACAGAGATAGGGTAGCTAGAGCTCTGTTGGTTTCATCTGATAGTCTTGTAATGTCATCAGGTAATGGTGGACCAGGATCCAGTTCGACGGCCTTCTGCTAAGGAATTAATAGAAAATCCGATATTTGACAAGATTTTAAATAATGCAAAAGCCTGAGCAAATTTATTGCTCTGGGAGTATGGAATGCTTCATGTGTGGCTGCTTGCAATCGGCTGGAAATGTTTGAGTTGAGGGCACTGGAGTGGCAATGACAAACCAAAACTATTAATTTATGCACCAAATTTTCTCCCTATACTGGTGCACATTTTGTAAAGTTGCAAAAAAGCCACGCTCAAGATTTGTTGTATTATTATGACTAAAGGGAGCTCCTACTCTAGTGTTTTGTTTTGGCCACAAAGTAGGGCTACTGCTGTAGTTTTATGCACCAAATTAAGTTTCTCACTGTAATGGTGCAAATTTTGTAATGTTACAAAGGCAAGCGAAAGAAATGCCATGGTTCCTTCCTTCGTTGATATTTT